AGACCTGGGTTTCAACCAGCTCCTCCTGACAGCCAGGACCATGTGCTGGGACTTCACTGCAAGCCAAGGCTCCAGCAAGGATCCCCATTCCTCTCGCATCTTGCTGGCAGCTACTGGTACCCTCGTGATGTTTTGGGGTCAGTCTCCAACACCTTCCTCTTCTTCATCCATGTTTGCATATCCCACACAGCGGCTCACCTGCCTGCTACCCAAGGCAGAGGAGAAGGCTCCCCTGCCTCTGCTACTGAGCATCCCAGTAGTGTCATTGTCACTGGGCTTCAAAATGCACCTATCATAGAATCATAGAATAGTTTGAGTTGGAAGGGACCATGGAGGTCATCTAGTCCAACCCCCCTGCAGTGAGCAGGGACATCTTCCACTAGCCCAGGTTGCCCAGAGCCCCATCCAACCTGACCTTGAATGTTTCCAGGGACGGGGCATCTGCCACCTCCCTGGGCAACCTGTTCCAGTGTTTCACTATTTAATCCTATTCTATATTACTAAAAGTCAACAAACCTCCCTATGATCAAGTCCTGTTCCAGAATGGCACATCCTTCAAAAACTGCCTTATAAAAAAAAAAAAAAGAAAAAAAAAAGCCAACACAAACCCAGCATTTCCAAACTGTAGCAACAGTTAATTACAAAGTTTGCAAAGCATATATAAACCACAGCATTCTTTATCCAACATGAAGATTGTTTTCTGGTTTAAGCAGCCTATTTTTTCCCTCCAGAACAGCCCATCCTTCTACCAACACCCTCCATGCCCATCCAGCCTCGTTCCCCCCGCTCCGTACATTGATGTACCACGCTGCACCGCAGAAGTGGTCGCGTTCTGGTGGCACACAGTGCTCTTGCTAGATAGCCAAAAGGGATGAGGTGGCTCTCCTTGGCTATATAAGTAGGAATGGCTTTGGTAGCGGGAAAGAAGATTTAGATTAGACAAGAGGGAAAGCTTCCTAGCAGCAAAGACAGATCATGTAGGGAGAGAGGGGAATCTCCATCGCTGGAGGTTAAGAACAGGTGAGACAAACATCTGTCAGAAATGTTTTAAGTAGGGCAGAAGGGCAAATCAGATGACCTTATAAGACTCTTTTCTTTTTTTTCCACAGTCTCATTTTTCTCTGATTATATGAATTTCTAAGCATTTGGGGTCAAGGGTACTGTTTCAATATAAGCTATTAACCTGCATTTGCAGAGAGAAAAACCAGAGGTATTACCTGGAACTGTTCATCACCTGAGTGAACATCACCAATTTGCAAATCAACTGCCCAGACATAAAAATCCATCATTTTTTCCTGATTTATGCTGAAGGTTAATAGGACACCTACAACACAGGGACAGGGGAAGAATGCACACTGAGGATCTTCCATTCATCTCCAGTCTTTTATATTTCCCATTCTGGAAAAGATTCTGTCAAGGTGCTATCTTCTATCTTCTATCATGTGCAGTAGACACACATGGTTGGCACGAAAGAAGCACAAGCTCACTACACCGTTGTGTCCCAGCCCTTTTGGGTTTGCAAACCAGACCAGGGCAAGTCTCCAGGACATCCAGCCCTGCAGGACGTCTGGACACCCAATGCCTCCCACTCCATGTTGACCATGAGACACACCAGATCCAGCCCAGCTTGCTGCCAGCTCCTACCCAACTTCAGCTTTCCAAGCTCCAGCCGCACCAGCAAAGCTGCCTGACTACAGAAGTCGCAGACTTTGCCCCAAAATTGTGCTGGAAATGGTCTCCAAGTGGTTTCTCTTGCCCTGAAGTGGCCTTGAGCAAGCATTACACCAAACTTCAGCTTTCCAAGCTCCAGCCGCACCAGGAAAGCTGCCTGACTACAGAAGTCACAGACTTTGCCCCAGAACTGTGCTGGAAATGGTCCCCAAGTGGCTTCTCTTACCCTGAAGTGGCCTCGAGCAAGCATTACACCAAGGCAGAAACAGAAGCATCCTAATATGTGGCCTCTCTTTGAGTCAGTTATCACCCTATTAGAAAAAAAAAAAAATTACCAAAACCCAGAGCTGACCATGCACCAAGATATGAGGACAGTGCAGTGAGCCCAGCTCCATAATCCGTGGTCCTATAGTTAATACCACAAAGAGGGGCTGAAATATGTTTCTTTGCAATGCTCACTGTGAGCACAGCAGGTGGTGTGAGGCTGTGTTTGGGTTTGTGCTGAGGAGAAGCTGATCACACACTGATGGGCAGAGCTGCTGCCAGGACAGTCAAGGACTTCCCAGCGTCTCTGCTGTGCCCGTGTCTGCAGGGGCAGGAGGAGCTGGGAGGGAGCACAGCCCCAGTGACCAGCCCAGGATTCAACCTCAGGTTTAGGACTGAGACCCAAACTGGCCAATGGTCTGTTCCATCCCATGCACGGCATGGCCAGGATAGAGGTGTGGCTCTGTCCAGAAGTGCTCTCTCTTGCTCTGGGTTGTCTCCATCAAGGTCGCCCCTCTCTCAGGGTTGTCTCAGTTTCTCAGACACTTGGGCTCTTATCTCCATTCCAGGATTGCTGTTTCGGGACTCTCCCTGCTCCAGGATCATCAGCCAGGAACAGGCTGAGCCTTGGTCATCGGGTGGAGAGAAGTGTCCCTGTGTGTCACTCATTTGTATATATTATTATTATTACCCTCACTATTAGTATTTCCAATATTATTGCAGTTTAGTTATTGAATTGTTCTTATCTGAACCCACAAGTCTCTTTTCCCTTCACCCCTTTAATTCTCTCCCCCATCCTCGGGAGAAGGAGAGGATGAGTGTTGTGTAAAACTACATTTCAGGACTTGAGCTGCTGGTGGCAGGGCAGAAGAGCTGAAGTTCAGGTCCAACCTTGATTGCAGACAGGTTAAGCCTCTATTTGCACCAGCAGAGAAATATTTGACATCTCCACAAAACCAGGGAAAGTCTCACTGACGGCTTTGTAATTGCTTTTAGAGCCACTCCAAATCCATGTGCTAAGAGGCAGAGCAGCGGCGCTGGTGGACGGCTGGCACGCAGGACATCAGCGAAGGAGACGAGTCCCTCACAGACGCGTATCCAGGCTCCAAAATACTTCACCAACCATCAAATATTTTCCAAGCTTAGCGGCTGGACTCTGCAACCCTTCCAGCAGCCAAGTCACTAATACCTCTTCCCGCGGGCAGCACAGCTGATCTCAGCCAGGGCTTGCCAGCAGCTCTAAGTCGACTCGTTTAAAGAGAGGACAGCCCGCTTAGTTCCACTTTTCAGACTCCTGGTTTTTTTTCTTCAAGGATCTCTAGGCTTTTTCTCCAGCTGGAAAGCATTAGCATCTCTGATTCACGGTGAAGAAATGCAGTCACAAGTATGCTCTAACTGTTTTTCCCACTTTGTCACCCCGTCCTTGGCTTCTTGTCCTCTCCCCAAACTCCACAGTCCTGTCCCTCCAAATTCAGTCTGATATATCATTCTTCGTGGTCCAGGACTAACCCCAAGGAATGGAAGAAATCTGTTTTCCTTTTTCCTCCTGATTAAAGCCACAGAAGGCAGGTGACTGACAGGTTTCCAACCTCCTGATTTGAGAGGTCCAGAATTGCAAGTGTTAGTGTACGGAGCACAAGCCGTGCAGATTTGCAAATGCATCGAGAGGCTTAACAGCCCAGGAAAGTAACTCGGGTGGGAAACTCCGAGCTTAAATCTAAAGGCAGCTCTTTGAATGTGCAGAGGCCTTGAGGCTAAACCCCCCCCCCAAAAAAAAAATCAAAGTCATATTTGGGCACAGCCTTTCTCCCTGAGCAATACTCCATAGAGAGTAGTTTGCAGGTCTAGGTAGAAGAGATCCCAACGAAAATGAAGGGCTTGTCCCTCCGCACGTTTGGTGTGGGAGTGTGAGAGCAGCGCAAGGTCACGTAACAACACTGAGCATTGGTGTAAGGGGGAGTCAGGGCACGATCAGCCTCCCTGCAATGAAATTTCTCTCTGCATTCCTCTTGCTCCGTCCTTGTCCTGCAAAGGACCAACAGCAGGGATCCCCCAGCAAAGGAGGCTCGAGTACACAGGAAAGCTGGAGCAACCCCATATCCCAAGCCCTCTCTCTGCCTTGAGATTATGGGGCAGGAAAAGCGCTCTGGTGTTTCTCCGTATTCCCTTTGCTCAGACTTGAACTTGCCTCCCACTTGAAAGAGCTAATTAAGGAAAGAAATCAAAGCCCAGAGAGGCGGCTATTACAGCAGCCTGGGTGCTGTGCCGGCTGTAATGCTGATTTCTGCTCCCGGTATCAAAGCCAGCCGTATACTGGTGGGGCTGATGCAGAGTTCTGCAACGACACTTTAGTGAACCGACAGAATAAACCATGGCAATTTCTTCAGACCATTTGTAGGTCAGGTGGACCAGCCTCTTCCCCCAGTCCCGCTCTTAAATCTTGCAGCATTTAATCCTTGATCTGTAGCCAAGCCTTAATTTTTCAGAGATAGCACAGAGCTGCCTGGAAAGCGGAAGATGAGGGACTTTGATGGTTAATGACCAGTGCTTCTCAGCCCCAGAAGAAACGAAGCCCTGGCTTCACAAACCTCCCTGAATAAATCTTGCTCTGACTCCAGCCCAGGGAAATAAAATTACACCAGCAGACACGGAAACTAAAATTACACCAGCAGACACAGTACAAACCAGTACAAGCCATTGACATTATCTAGGTCCTGTTTTGGTTTAGGTTTGAGCCAAGACTGTGGAAGGAAGCACAATTTCACCCCTAACCCTTTACAGGAAAGTAACAACAGGTCAATTTATCCTAAAGATTTCAAAGCTCCTTGGCTTAGTTCAGCAGTAAACACAACACGGCTGGGGAGATCAGACCACCTTCCTCAGCTCGTCCATAAGCAAACTGGTGCATGAAAGGGTTAACTTAGGTGGGGTGGTTGGGTGAAGGCAGAGCCAGGACTGGGATGCAGCAGTCTCAGTTCCTTGGGACCTGGTCTATTTGTCAAGCCGTGCTCTAAGGTCTGTGAGCACGAGGAGGCTAAGGGTGGGTGCTTAGAGGCTTCACTTACCGCACTGCTACAGGGAATATCCTTGACTTTGAGCCAGGCCAGGTCCAACGTCCCCTCTCCCCTGTAGCAGGACTGCAGTCTGTCCTTGATGCGATCGTTGATCTTTTTCAAGACAAAGATGCAAAGAGCGGATTCATCCAAGGACTTCATCTTCCTTTTCTGCCCCTTGGAGAAGACCGTGAAGAGGATATCATCCTCAGGGCCAACACCCAACGACCTCGCTAAGATGGCTCCAGCCTTAGACAAATAGGCTGCTTGGAGCAACCGGTATTCCACCCCGTTCTTCTCACAGCCAATGGGCACCTCAACATAGGAGTTAAAGGCTGTGTCCTCCTTACAAAGCCGGACCAGCTTGGAGGTATAAACCTGCTCCTTCGTGGTGGAACCAGGTGGTGAGATCATCTCAGGCTGCAGAGTTAGAAAATACACAAAGTTACCACTGCTGAAGCCGTAGATGTAGTAGATATCGAAGTCGGGGATGATGGTAAAAGTGTCTGAGGGGATCTTGATCATAGAGGCCACAAACTCATCATGAAAGACATACGCAAACATCCCATCTGCCTCGGAGTTCTTGGTGAGCTTTCTGCTGGAAATAGTTGGGAAATACTCAGGTTTGCCATCCACAGCAGTGGCAATGAACAACTTGTCATCCATGTTGCTGTAAGAAACAATGACTCCAAAAACAGAGCCACTCTCGTTCACTCCAGAGAGATAATGCTCCTTCTTGTGGAAGGGCTCTCCCAGCTTGAAGAGGTCATCCAGCCTCAAAAGCTTGCAGATGCCCTGGTAAAGACTCCCACAGGCTATCAATCGATTCTCCTTGTAGTCTATGAGGAGCATTTTGTTTATATTGTTAGTGGGCGTCAAGGGTTCGTTGCAGGTTTGGACTATCCTGGGTGGGTAACACTTGGGATTATCTTCATCTGGACCAGTCTGGTGGGTCACCAGGACCTTCAGGTCACTGGAGAGTTTGTAGATCCTGTTGACAGCTCCCAAGTAGATATGCCCAGTTCTTTCATCAACCACCAAGTGGTTGAAGTTCCCCTCTGCTTGGTCGCCCGTGAAAGTGATGAAGGACCTCTTTGGGTGGAGTGGCTGCTGCCTCCCAAGAGGCGACACTGTGGTGGATAGCAGGAGGTGAGAAACCAGGCAAGTCCATTTCCACATGGCTGGCGACATGATTAGAAAGGTTTGTATTCCCAAGGGAACGAGGATTAAAAGCTGTAAGTGTCTTCAAAACACCAATTCCCTGGCAGATTTTGTCCTACAAGCAAAGAGAAAAGAAAACAAAAGTCCATTACTATGGAGTATTCCTTCCTCCTCCCTCCTTCACAGCCATGCCATCATCAGAGCGTATTTAATTGCTAATCCTTCCTTTCCCGTCTCTGAGCTCTCTGCTTAAAACCAGCACAAAGGGAGCCCTCCTGAAAGAAAAGATGCTGGTAGAAAAAGCAGAAATCACACAGCAGAATAATAAATCGGCACCCTTTTACTCTCCATTACACACACACGCACGCGCCCCATGGTGCAGCACAAAAAAATTCACTGGAAGCCAAAGCAGGGCAGAATGCTAATGGTAGAAACATCACGCAGTATTGCTGTTTGCACTGCCAGCTTTGACCCAAATGTGTATTTGCTATCTAAGAAGACAGGACAGGAGAAGGATTACTATCCTGCTCTTCTGGCTGAGGGACTGAAGCCTAGAGAAGGTCACGGACCTGCCTACAGGGACAGGTCCAGATGGATGCTGAGCTCTTTTGCAACCCTTGAAGTTTGCCAGGAAGAAGCCAGCTCTGGTCTGACATTAACATCCTTTCAGGGAGACCTTGGTCCAGAACGGGTCTGCTTGAATAAGCTCTCTGTGGCTTCCAGATCAAAGCTGCCTCATGCTGGTCCAGCTCGGAGTACAGACGTAGGAGTTCGGGTGTGCCAGCCTTCGCAGCCACATCTATAAAGGGCATGCAGCCAAGCATGGAGTAAGCTGTGCACCAGGTCCACAAGACCACTCTCCACTCACTGCACAGCCAAGAAAACATTATCTGGAAGAGAGATGCAGTTCCTCTGAGCATCTTGGAGGACTGAGGAGAAAGGGACTAGCAGTAACAAAGTCTAAAGGCCCGTGAAGTAGGAAAATTAGCAACCCAGGGACCAGCCTGGTGACTTTCCAAAGAAAGGGAAGGGTGCTTCCTTGCATCACCAGTCTCTTAAAATCTCCCATGGGTGCAATATGGAGTTCAAAAAGCTTCTGTAATTTGGTGACCACATCACCAAGCCCCATCCTCATGCTGTGAAAACGCATCTTCCTGCTCAACACATCCATCTTCTCCCTGCTCCTTCACTTTTCCATGGCTGCTTCTCACCCAAGAGCAGCTTTGACCTTTTATGACCCCACAGAGGATGTGGAAGATGGAGTCCCACCAGCTCTGGTGTCACCAGCCAAGCTCCTTGCTGTGAGCTGGCTGCACAACCCTTGTTAAAGTGGCGAGGCTGAGGCACAGAACTCTTTCCTCCCTCCATACCTCTTTAACATCCAGATCACAATTTCACAAAACTGCTGTTGATTTTGAAAAGGACACAAGCCAAACCCCAGCCCCACTCCTGCAGTGTCCTATCACCTCTCTCACAGAGTGACTTTGCCGAAATCAGGGGTGTAAGTAGCTGAGCAAAGGTGATGACAGCCAGCCCCGCGCAAGCAGGAGGCGAGGGAAAAAGCACTGTTTGCAGATCCCAGCAGGGAGGAAGATGTGGCAGTGACACAGGTCTGGATTTGCAGCTTTTTCAAATCTGTGCAACTCTGCTATCGTCAGTGGAACTGAAAAACTTACTTCAAGAAATAATAAAGAGAATAAATCCTGTCTTCTTTTGACCTGTAGACTGATTAGATCTGATAGTGGAAAGTGTAAGTCTGGGTTTGCAGAGCATCCACCACTTTTACGCCACCCCAAATATTTCAAAATTCTCACAGCAGCCAGAATTTCTAAGTTGTTGGATGATCACCTTCACCTCCCACTGCCCTCCCTACCGCAGCAGCCGCCGGCATTGGATAGATGATGGCCAAAGGTCATTTCACATTTACTTTAGATGTGTTTACCCTCTTCTGCTTTGCCTTTCTGGTCAAGCAAATATTTAATAAAACCAAGCTTATACTGCAGAGTTTGCAAGACTGTCTTGCGAGCAGGGGATGATTTGCTCTGCAGGGATACGCAGGTTGGTCACGTAGGCTTTTAATAACCTTTATGATGATAGATAGAGCGGCAATGGGATGAGCTCTCCCAGTACAACCATTCCTCTTTCAAAAGAAGCCATCCTTGAGAGAGCAGCAGAAGAGGGAAGCTGTCCCTGCTGGAGTCCTGTGCTCAGAAACATCACGTGGCGACCCTGAACACCGGCTCCCGTCATGTATGAGTTACTGTCCGTATTCCTAACAGACACCAGTTTGATTGCCCACTAGACAGATCTAGGAAGAAATTATTCCTTTCAAGTACTAAACAGATATCTGTTTTACCCCTCTATTTTACTATATTTTGCTCCTCTTATCGCTGCAGAGTCAGTACAGCTGCAGGACAGGGAAATGGGAACTGCCATGACCCGGAGACCAAAGAGGTGACGAACAGCCCCTCTTCTGCAACGGGAGCCATCCACCTGAAGGTCATCCCAACACCAGAGAGCAGAGGTGCAACACCAGGAGGAAATCTGCCCATTAAAATAAGTGGTCGACATGATGTAAGAGGAGATGTAAAATCTTTGAGGTTCAAGCAGGAGAGAATTGTGGTTGACTTTGAGGTGGGACTGTCACTTGTAGAGGGAGAGGGTGGTGAGGGGAACCTTCCTCTAGGCAAAGACAGCAAATTTGATCCGGAAACCACACAAACCCCAAAGAGTAACTCCAGGAAGGCTGAACGAGAAGTCTCTTTTGCAGCAGACAAGGGTGCTTCAAACATAGTAAACCTCATGGGGTGAGATGTTCACCTGCAGAGGAAAGAGCCTCAACAGCCTGCCGACACCGAGAGCCACCAAACAAGCACAGGAGCAGCATTTTGGGACAAAGCAGGGAGAGCAGGAGCCTGGGGCTATCTTGCCATCTTCCATTAGCTATGTGAGTGACCCCAGGAGCAGGATTTTCTCTCTATACTCTGCTGGCACTCACTCCTTCTCTCCCATTTGCTCATGGCTTTTGCCCTACACCCTCTGTCCTGGAGTCCCAGTCAGTACTTGAGCCTCTAAGGGCTATAATTTATGATTTGGTTTAATTAATAAATAACAGTAGAGGACAGAGGCAAGGAGGGCTGGTCATTTGCCTCACAGATTAGAGCAGGGTTTGTACTGCCCCTTAGGAGATGCACCAAGGAGAAGGGGGTTATGTGTGTATTTTTATTACCCATGTCTGGATAGCAGAAATCATAGCAGCTGGGAAGACAAAAAATGTAGTGCCACAGAGATACCCCATCTTTTAGGCTGCTCAGTCTACAGGAGATTAATTATATTATAATAAAATAGCAAATAAATAAAAAGGCCAAAGTGAGCAGGCAGTGAGGTCTGGGCTTAGGCTCCAAGCCAGGTATTTCCAAAATAAACCCAAACCACCTTCCCACAATGACCAGGCTCACTTGTCTTTCCCACCAGAGACGTGGCCAGCAGAAACTTCATGACCCAGCGTGCAGGGCTCCTGTGCAAGACCAGACTGTCCCTCTGAGCAGCTCTACGTGGCTGCTGCCACAACAACCTCTTCACCAGCACATTCGAGGTCCCTGGGAAGGTCACACAGCATCTACAGCCCCAGGGATTTGTAGAGAAAGATCTTTTGATGGAAATCAACCCTTCTCTTTCTCCCTCTGTCAGGAACAGCTGCTCTGCTGCACTCTTCCCATGCAGTGGTGGCACTGAGGGGATGCCACAAGTCATAACAATACTCTAGAAGTTTTTCTTTGAGACTGAATCTCTTGGGTGAGTGTCTTCATTTCCCCACAGCAAAAAAAAAAAAGTGCTGAGAACCTGCCTACATCCTTTTCTGACCATGGTTACTCAACCTTCATGACATGCAGCGATCGCAAAGGAAGACCTTATTCTTTTTCTAGAACTCGAGTTACACCAGATTTTAACCTACACACAACCTTGCCGGTGGAACTAGTGTCTCCACTCTGTGGCTTGCAGATAACACATTCCCCATAAGACCTCTTGAGTTCACACAGTTGGGTTTAAGGACCGGTTTCCTCCTGAAGGACAGCAAGTTATGATGCTACCCTACCGTGTGGTTACTCGCTTAATGTTGTTGACTATTTCCCGCAAAGGCTGGAGACCACTGATACAGCTTGGTTCTGCTCTGGCCTCTCCTGGGAATGATCCCAAGACTCTACAACATGCAACCCTATGGTCAAGAGATGGGGACCTGGACAAGAAATGTCCGGATGCAAAAAAGCCTGAAGGGAAGAAACTTTCCTAACTTCTTTTAACTCAGCAGGTGGCTATTACTAGATGGGAAAACTATGGCATGCTGAATATATCCTCAAAATCCAGCAAGTTTCAAGGGGAGAAAGTCAAGAAGGCTGTGCCATGGCTGAGGAAGCAGGAAAAAAAATCAGGAATAAAGATGACACAAAGGACTGGTCTGTAAATTGAGAGGGAGGGAAGGAGTTGGGAGGCAGTGTACAAGCAGAGGGAAAAGAGAGAGCTGGAGCATTTGGTTTCGAGTGACAGTCTCACAAAAGCCACGGTCACAACCCTGTACTGGAGACTGGCACAAATCCAACCCCACTGCAATGACAACCCCTGAAAGGGACATGTCACTGGGTGAACATGAGAGACGACAGCATCTCCCCATTCGGCTCACGCACACGCAACCCTCCTGCCATCAAATGTGGCAGACAGATTCATGTCACCAGGTCCCCTGCCACAGCCACCTGTTGGCAGCAGGGACACACCGCAAGGTCAACGGCAAGAGGAGTCATGCGTGAGAGCCTGGCTACAAAGAGCCACGGAAGCAAACCCACCCTGGGTCCAGCTCCAGCCAAGGGCTCAGAGCATGAGAAAATCTAGAATAGGACCAAAACATGCTGAAAACCAGCACTGGAAGGGGAGAAAATCCACCACCTCTTCCTCCTGAGGGGGTCTGACACCACCCTGGGGTCCCAGTGGCTGGTGGGATGGGCTCCACCAAGCAGCACCTATCTAGGAGGAACCCA